CTTATTTAAGAACAGAATATCTCCAACTGTAGCAGGTTGGACCATACATCTTTTACGTGACCTGTTCGAGAGGAGAATATCCACCTCCCTTTGCTTAAATTCTAACCAACGTGACTTTATTTTATTTTATTTTTTTGCTTTGGCAGCCACGCTGAAAATCTGATAAAATTTGTACATTAGAAAAATGCTAAAACCTTTCTCCTGATTCAGCACATCTCTGGGTTAAAAAACCCAAATTATCGACCCTTGACTTAAATCATGGGTAACTATCTTCCCCTATTTCCAACACAGGTTTATATAGAACATATATTTATAACCCTAGCCTTAAGCCTACAATTGCCTTTACAATATTGGAAAAAATATGTAATATAACAGCAAATGGGTGGATAGGAAAAATCACTTAGGAATTATAGATCATTTAATTTTGTGTTTATTTGTAACTTGAACCTGCCCAGAATGAAAACCCAATACTGGCATAATAGCACATTTTAAGAAAATAAACGATACTCCAATAACTAAAATGCTCAAAAAGCATAAACAATTTCTATAGTGAAGAAGATGACCCATGGAAGGTCATCTTAGATAGTCCCAAATTGGAAAGCTGTCTGTAGAACTGATGAGCCTGGTTTGGTCGCTGACATTTTAGAAATGGGCAGGGCTTTGGAGATCATTTCATTTCAGCTCCCCTGATCTAATAGATAAGGAAACACGTCCTCACATGAATGAAATGATATAAACATCGAAATACTGAATGCATTTCTTAAACTTTATATAAGATACATTTTTGTTCCATCGTGGTTATCTGTGAGCATATTTAATTGCCCTACTAAAATTGAATTCTGTGGGTTAAAATGTTGATATTTTTATGCTTTCTCCTAGCTGTTGCTCAGCGAGTATTTGCTGAACTATTCAAGCTGGACTATAAGCTCCACAGAGGCTGGATAATATGTTTTGCTCATGAGAAAGAATCCAGACAGAGATCATCTCTGTTAAGTAAAGAACGGAATGCCCTAGCTGCGTGGGTGATGGGTGTCGCTGACTTTCCCTGTTGTTTTAGATGCTTTCCTCTTCTCCATATTCTCCTTGCTTTTCAAACCCATCGCAGCTGCCCCTGGTTCTGTGGAATGTGGGACAGGTCTGGACGGCTAAGACTGTGTTGATAAGAGGCCTGTGGGGTGGGAAATGTGCTGCTTTGGCCACAGGCGGGAGCTGTGCTCTAGTGAAACCTGGGAGGCTGAGGCTCGGGGAAGGGCTTGGGAGTGAGCAGAGGGATGGGGCCAGGAGGCAAGCAGGGGCACTGGGCTCCATCCTTTTATCAGTGGGGAGCATCGGTTGTGGACATTTCAAACACACTCAAGTCCGTTTCAAATTGATTTCCCTTTGTTTTGAATTGTGTGCCTTGGGACGTTCTCCCTCAGTATCCTGTGTACTGTCTGCTGTACGCCCAGCCAAGCCCCGTACTCTCAACGATGGGGACAGAGGGTGGCTTATCCCTTCTATGCCCCCCTTCAGCGTCCTTCCCAGTGCCTGGCTCCTGTTGGCATCAGTCATGCACTTTAAGTGATGGCCACTGGTCCAGAATGGAACATGGTCATCCCAGCATGTTCCCTCCACGAGCTGGGCAAGGAGGGCTCCAT